CAGTCGGCTGAAGTCAGAAATAATGACACACTTTATATATGTTAATATTGTTCACAGAGTTATGACTCTGAGAAGTAAGACTTTTGGCATAAACTACAGTGATCTGGTTGAAGGCTCCTAATTGCCTCCATGAGTTGTTTCACAGCTGCACATCCAGTTTTTGGATAAATGATGCTTGAATGAGTGTGTACCGCAGTAGACCGTGTGTGTGTGTGTGTGTGTGTGTGTGTGTGTGTGTGTGTGTGTAAAAGAGTCATCACCAAAAGTGATCAGAGTAGAAGTTGTTTTTCAGTAGCAGAATGAAGCTCTTTCCCTCAGCCTCACCTCTCAGTAAAACTAATGATGTGGATCCAAAGTTAATATCCTGCATCGGGCCTCTGAGGCTCCCACGCTCCCTCTCTGTTTGCTGCAGAGTGCCGACAGTCGTCAGGCAGATTGGTACAAATAAATCCTGGATTTATTCACTTACCGAAGCAGCTTCAGCGCCTACAACGCCTTGGAGCGAGCGTACTTAGTCTGAACGCCCGACACCGAGCACCATGGGCATCTCCCCTCATGTCTCTGCATCTCCTGCCCATCTTTTTCGTTTTGATAGAAGGTTTTATTATGATAGCAGCTCTACATATGATGTCAACAACAAAACAGCATCTGTCCCTGCAGAGTCAGACCATCACTGCTGTTGCCTGCAGATAATAATAGCCACCTGTTAAACCATCGTGAAGCAGACCAGAGATTTTTGTGTCCTGTATATGAAAATGTCTCCTTCCAACACTGTGGCCCCAATGATGGCCCTGTTGAAGCTAAAACTGAATTTTAAGCATCACTTGTCGATTTGGCCAGTTTTTAAGTACAAAAAGTAAGAATCTGATGATAAGTAAAAGACATTATAGAACTTACAGGGGCATTTTCATGTAGAGACTTGATTCAAAATAAGTCTCAATGTGAAGAGAAGTAATAAAGCCACTGAGTAATAGGTGGAAAAACTTAAAGCTGGTGTTAAACAGGTGGAAAGTTTCAAACAGATGAATGCAAACAGGTTGGAATATAGGTGGGAAGGATTCCTTTTTTGGAGACCATGAACTTTTCTAATCTAATACACAGTTGTTGTTATGATATCTTAACTGTCATAAAGTGAATGTACAAACTTGACTGGACATGCATGTCTTTGGACTGTAGCAGGAAGCTCGAAAATCTTGAGAAAACTCTTGCAGCAACACAGAGAGCATGCAAACTCCAGGAAGAATCATCTGTCCCAGGAAGATTAATCCTGATGTCCACTTCTATGTGACAAATTAGTATCAAGGTTTGCACAGATGTTACTAATGAAGAACAAAGAACTTTAGTGATCCGCAGCCTCATTAGGACAGGAAGTTGTGTCAGAATGTGAGCATGGAGCATAAGGTTTATACTGATCATATGCAATTAAGCCACAAAGCATCTCACGCCACTTAATGCAAAAGTAATGCAACAACTTACTTTGTCCAGGAAATAAATGACAAGTAACGTGTAATGCATTTCTTTTCTTGAATAAACATCCCAACACATGGCAGATATTTGTCATGTATGGATTTAACACGATCGGTATCTCTGCTTCTAGCGTGTTCTCATCCCTCGGGTATTAATTAATGCAGTTTTGTCGCTGTCGTGTCTCTGTTGAGCACAGGGTGTCCTTTAGTTTCTGTGCCTTGACACAGTAGGTTATGAGATCAGTGTGAGGGGTCTGTCCTCAAATCCCATCATTAGTGAGTGTATGGGTTATTGTTGTGAGCTGTGTAGCCCAAGCCACAATCTTCTCGTAAACCTAACTGCAGTTTTCAGAAACCTGACAACTAGGACTACTTCACAGCACCTAAATTTAACCACTATTATATGAAATATAAATAAATAAACCATTTGGGTCCTTTGACTAGACCTAACTAGTCCTGATCTTTGTCACGTATACCCCCAAGTGCAGGATGCTTCTTAAACCCAAACCACAAGCTCTTCCTCAAGTCCATCAAGTACTTGTTAGTGCTTCAGTCTAACAAAGTTCTTTTCAGCTTCTAAACCTAATCCCGAACGTTTTAGCGTTTAAACTTAACCAGTTACTTTTGAGCACATAAACCTGACCAAGAAGTTTGAGTTCTTAGAAATAACTAACAAGTGAAAACTCAAGGAAAATGGGACACAGACTATCTAGACCTCTAATATGGGACCATTATCTCTCAGTATCAGCTAATGCCACAATGACAAAGAACGTCTCGCATCTAAGAAAAAGCCATTATATTAATATTATGGGCTGGGGTAAGAAAGTGCTGGTGCCTTAGACGATGGTCAATCTAACCGCAACTTGGCACCGAAGTTATGTTGGAGCACAAAGACACATGCAACCAACCTTAAATAAAAAGAAAAGCTACAGCTGCAAAGACCAGAACAGCTTCACAATCCAAATGTTTAGTGAAGTTAAAAACCCTTGCTTCTCTGTTACGGGAGACTATGATGCAATATTAACAGCCTAGTTTCAACAATGTATCAGAAGAGAATGCATCATGGATATTCCTTTATTGATTATCAGTCCCGTGTGTGCTGTCGTGCTCCTTCACATTCCTCTGCAGCAGGTAACCGTTGTGTAGCCCTGCTCCGTATGTGCCCCCATCTGCTCTTACTGATGAAATCTTGGCCACATGTTGTGTCACCACTGCAGAATTTTTTAAGTCCTCCCTTTGTGCTCAGACAGAAATGTGAAGTGAATGCAAAGTCCAGCGGAGAGGAGACCTGACACACTGGTGCCTCTGCTGTGGAAAAACGACTCTAATGACTTGTTTGTTCCTTCTGAGCAGCCCATCAAAGTCTCAGTATTAACCAGCACAGTCAGTAATGAGGCGACCGCAGTTTCATCACACACGGACGCCGGCGATAAAGAGGAGCTCGAGACCCGAGTGGCAGATGAGCAGAGTTCAGTTGATGTACTTTGAAATGGCAGAAGTGTTTTTGCTCCTGCCCTGTGGCTCCATGCAGAAATGGGCAGCAGCTCATGCACATGATTAAAAATAAAACTGCACCCATGAATGAACGAACTTTGAGTTCTCTGGTGTAAAAGAAACATGCACTAAAATTATGTTTATCTGTTTGACCAGGCTTAAAACACCCCCTTAGCTGGAACGAAGGTTATATATCACCTACAGAGATGCTGTACTACTACTACAAAAAAAACTAGTACAAAATATACAGGAAATGTCTGTAAATTTGAGACTGGGATGTTTTCATGACTGAAAGTTCTAAAATCTTTTAAATCTATTCAGAAATTCTGAAGCCATCATAATTAAGCCTATAGACAGAAAACTGAACTACCACAGAAACCAGTAAGTACTACACCAAACTGAAACAGTGGAAACTAAACTTGACTAAAGCAAACCTGAATCTGTTGCACTCCCCTAAATATACGGCTAAAATACTCTTTTCTTTCTGTTAAGTACCACCTTTGATTTGTGGTGGTCTGACTGGAGTTCTATTCTTTTTTCTGTCCCTCGGATCCATATAGACACATGAGCCGTGCACTGATAATATTCAGATATACCTACTCAGTTCGCCACATCAGATATGTGCAATATCCAGCTAAAACATTTCAGGCTCAGCGTTTAAAAGCAAAAATCGCAGACTTGCTTTTACAATTTTACCATTTCTCTATTCTCACCTTCATCCTTCTTGACTCAATCCGAGACTTGTAGCAGAACTCGACCAGAGCCACCAGCATGGCCAGGCCCAGCCCACCAATCAGGATGTAGAAAACTCCAGCTACATTGCTCAGACTGAGCGCACTAGTTTTGTCCTATCAGCACAGAGAAGTGAGGTTAGAGACACCGAATCATGGTGCACAGAGGCATGACATCACTATGGTTTGAATCCAACTGTAAGCAAAAGGACAAAATTATTTTAAAAAAGTTTAAAATGGTCTAAAATCCCAAAGCTAAATACAAGTTTCTAACTAGGAAGACCATTATGCAGCGTTCAAAGGCTGTGATATTCTGACAAATGGAAATATAAATCCCCTCAGAGAATGTCTGAGATCCCCTGAATTATGGAATTTAATATGAAATTACTTTTGGGCGACATCCACTCAAATTTGAAATTTGAAATTTACTGCCCAACTGATAAGTCTGTAGTTTCCATTCAAAACATAAAACCTAATCGGTGACACCTGCCAGGAAAGTAAGTTCATTGTGCTTTGATGTTTTTGTACATCAAAGTCTATTTTGAGATATGAACAAACTCCTCTTTGTAAAATATCATCACTTTTTGCTAGCTAATCACAATAAGGAAACAGTTAAAATAGTTAATAAATGCTAACAAGTGTTAACAAATAACAAACATTAAAACTAATTAAAATGAGAGTTTGTCACTCCAAGAGTCTAATTCAACCATCTAGTCTTTAGCCCAATATTATCTGATATATAAATGTATTTAAAAGTCCAAATGTATCTGACCCTACTGAACAAGGCAAAGACCCTGCAAATGTTCATCTCCTCATGAAAAGAATGACCCTCCGTTGCCTCAATCATAGCCTTTGAACATCCACATCTATTGATCTGTCACATGCAGCTTCATGCACGAAAATGCAAACAAAATGTGGAAAAAAAATTATCTTGAAATTCTTAACAAAAAGGTCTTATACTTCAATTCAGAGGTTCATTATATCTGTGCTGGTCTTCACGGTCATAGAAATGTGTCATTTATGAAAAGTAGCTTCATATCACAATCTTTTAAAAAACAGACTCAGTTGGCGAGCTCTTGTATTTTGCACGCTCTTTCCTCACATGCATCGCTTGGTTTTTGGTGGGTGTGACTTAGCTTTTTCATCCAATAGCATGCAGCCTGTTAGAAAAAAAGAAAGGAGGAAATAGTGGGCGGGGCCTCCCTTCAACAGTAGGAAGTGCTGTGAGCCTATCAGTGGGATTTCCTCTCCACACTGTCATGTTAACCTCAACCAATCAGCTTCTGGGAAATCCCACCAAAAGACACTAAAAAAGTCAGACTTCTTAAAAACAAAGTCATCTGAATTTGTGTGTAACATCTGATGTAATAGTATAGTTCATTGATGCTTTATAGTTGTTAACCAGTTAGCTAAGAGATCATGTGAATGATAGTAGAAATCAGCTTGTTAACAGAGATCTTTTAACCAAATACACTGATTAGATACCAGGCAGGTTAAATTTTCTTTTAAGAATTGTTTCTGGGAATAAACAGTCACGGGTCATTTTTAAAGTTGTCCCTGCCATCACCCTTGTATTTACAAGTGTTTTACAGACTGCATCAATAAGATCAACAGCCTTTATAGGGACTTTTCTTTGTCCGTGAGACTTGTACATAATCTGTTGTCCTATGTAGTGGTGTTAAAGTATAGTAGTATAATATGTTACTGAAAAAACTCAGCAGCTGAGCTCAGTGAGCTGTGAAGCATGATCACTGCCATTACTGACAAAGTGTAAACAAAACGTAGATAAACTCCAGAATTAATCATGTCACATTAAACATTTTGAAAACTTGAGGGCATTTTGGGTTTTTTTACATAATGCGAAAGCCTTCTGAATACAGCCTCTGATATGAATGGCTTCAATAAAGAGATGACAAAGATCAATTTTAGTAAATGAATCTCTATTAGTGGACACATCTTATCATCTCTGTATATTTTTGTTATGGAAAGTTCTCTCTACACTAAACTAATCCAAAGGGAAGGTGGAAATACACCAATCATCGGCATGACTCTCAGTGCTGCACTTTCAGTCTGACATTAAAAGTGTCTTTTCTCAACAGATTGATGAACGTTTTTCCACCATTTGTTAGTCACGGTCTGTTACTCAGCGAGTTCAGAAGAAGCAGGAGGTACATGACAGATTGGAGACAAAAACATCAGCATTTGTGTGTGGGAAGGAAAGGGGAGGAGGGAAAACGGGTGGGGGCAAAGCTGTGGTCATTTGCTTCAATTTAATCAAAGTTGGTCAGCAGCCATAAACAGAGAGAGAGAGAGAGCGAGAGACTCAAAGAGCGAGAGAGGAAGAAACAGGCAAATATATCTGCATTTATAAAAATCTGACATTTTACATCTGACCTGTGTGAAGGGAACGCAAACCTGCTTTAATCTGGAGCTTATCTTCCGGGCCTGATTATGTCTGTTTGATGGCTTCTTCTTTCTTTTTTAGCAGACAAAGTGTCTTTTTCAAAACTCTGTGACACTGTACAGCCACGAGCAGAGACTAAAAATACACATGTAAAAGTGGCACCCAAAGGCAGTTGGATGTGCGATTAAAAGTGATGTAAAAGGTCACATTTTTCAGCAGAGTCACTCGTCTGTCTGTCTGCGGCTGCTTCCATTGAACTGTGCTGACCACCAAATATTCTGGAGAACAGAAGGAAGGCTGAGCAGAGAAAAGCCTCTGAAGAAATCTGATGGATTTCCACTGATCTGGACTCATGAAAACCCCTTATCTCCAAAAAATGTCTGCTTTGTCAGAAATGGCTGAAGCCCCGCTCGTTTGCCTCCCAATTTGCATAAATTTGTCTTCGAGCTTGAAGCACGTTTGGTAGGAAAGAAGTTCATAAAAAATACTCAGCACATTTCAGCGGCCTCTCAGTTTAAGTCAGGAGTACAAATTGGAGTTGTGGGGTTTACACATGCCATCAGGATATTAAAATGTTTTCATGTTTTAATATGTTTGTCTTTCAGTTCTTCAGAATGGTCAACTGAGTAGCAGTGATACACTGTAAAAGCAAAAACAAAAATCTTCAATAAACCAAAAAAAAAAATCAATAAAAAAATGACTTTATGACCTTGAATGAAAAGTTTGTCACTTTGCGACCTGCTTTCATACTTATAGGTGAGAAGAGACTGTTCATGTTTAACCTTCTGAGGCTTCAGTCACAGGACATACCATTATTCCTCAACCAGTTGGTGAGTAGTTGCTGGCAGTCACTGGTTTGGTTTCAAATAGGTCTACAGTGATGCGCCAAAAACTTTGTTGCAAATGCTTTAGCCACTTGCAGGTTGCTGTAATCACACATAGATTGTATGAATTTGTTGGGAAACAAACAGAAGCTGTTTCTGTTCAGTGTGAAATATGTGCCTTTTGAAATGTGTTGGCACAACTTTTGTTGGCAGCACCATCTTTATGAATGATTTCACCCAGGAACAGTTAGCAAACTACAGCACTACTTGCCAAATCATTGGAAAATACATATTTTTCGCTGTCAAACAAGGTTTTCCAGGGTAGGTCCCTTGGCCTGTATTACTGAGGCCTTACTTTAAGGACTTGAGACAAACAGTCTTTGTGAAGGGGTAACAAAATATACCCAATGAGCACCTTAAATCTCACTAAAACATTTACTCTACTGAAAACACGTTTCCTGTTGTGTCCACTGGTCATTGTTTACAAGTGTAGTTTTATTGGAAGATCTAATACAGTAACCTTTCCATTAGGACCTACTCGGATCGAGTCATCACAGTTCGCCATGGTTTTCAGGGTTTTCCATTAGGTCATAATGAGAGTACCTGGTACCAGGATCCCTTGGAACCCTGCTTGGCCAGGGTTCCAAGGGATCCAAGGAGGTACTAAAATGTGACTTTGTTAGACTGTATTCCACCAATTGGCTGGTCAGTAGTGTCACTCAGTGACTTATGAGAGTGTCTTGTTCAGGAAAATCAAAGCCCCCATTTATAAGAGCTGGCAACGAATGAAACGGCTACAAGAAACAACCCTGTGGTCCCCGAGTCTGACGAAGAGGTACAGCACAGCAGGTATATTTTTGCCTTAACACACACCTTTGTTGTAGCGCTCATGTCGCACATTAATTACATAATGGGACACGTGGATGCATTGCTATGGTGACAACCACACACATCAAGTAGTACTGGATGGTAATGGAAAACCAGTCGATCTGAGTCGAGTCGTGGCGAGTTGATCCAAGTCGGTACCAATGTAAACGAGACTTAAAAGGTTAAATTATTGTCAAATGCTAGCAAAGGTTTTAAGAGTTCGTTTTGACAGGTGCTTTTCTTTTTTGCTCTTCACAAAGATGTTTTACCTGCATTATTCTAACCACAAACAAGTACAATCAGGCACGAGAAAGCTTGCTGCTGATTGTTCACATTCATCTGCTGGTATCTATTTGAGTTTTAAAGAAGTTATCTACAGGTTAAGAGATGTTTAAGAACTTTCATTTTAAAAATGTATTTTCTTCCTCATGCAGGATCCTCACCCCAGGTTACCTAAATGAATTCAGTCACTGTGATGTAGTATGTATAAAGTGTAAAGGTCACGCTATATTACTGCTCAAGGCCAAGGGACAGTGTTGGTCCCCAGAAAGTAGTAACATGCTCTGTTATTGGTTTTGTCTTACTGATATCTGTTTATCTCCCTAAATATAAACAGAATTTTCAGAGGATTCATATTTTGAGTTTAAACTGACTTTAAAACTAAAAAATACATTTTAATGCAGGACAATAAACAAACATTTGCTTTCTATTTAGCTGCAGACTATTAGCGGTGCCTTCACTTATAAAAACACTTTCTTCCAGGTAACTTTTAGCTTAAAGCATACCAGTCAATAAAAATGTGGAAAAAAGGATCAAAAATATAAATTAGCTCAACTTTTTTGTTTTTACAGTGTAGCTGCTGGAGTTTCAGAAACTAATAAGGGAAGGGGGGGGGGGGGATTGGGTGGGGTGGTGTAGGGGGTTAACCAACACATGACCTTGGGACCAGGCCTCAAGAACTGACCTTTCTGCCGGAGTCCTTGTGTCCACACTCCCCCTTGTCATACCACCACTTGTTTTTCAACTTGTCTAAGACGGCTTGTTCATTGAGCTTCAGTACTGCTAGGTTTACTGGGATTCTTCAAAGAACCATAAGAGGAAAGGAGGGGAATTGGAAATAACATAAATAACATTATGCACCTCCATGTTATCTTATGTTATTGTTCAGCTGCACAGCAACAGGGCTGCGATAGCTACAGCAGTAGCAGTGGTGGTGGCAGCAACGTTTTTAGCAAAAGTGACTTTAGCAGTACAGTAGCTGTGGAACACTACAGAAAACACCTCAAAAACAGCAGAAAGAAAAACAAACAAACAAACAAAAACAGGCACAATCACACGGAAAACTCTGGAAAATGTCAGCATCAAAGTGATATGCATTAATACTCCATCTAGCTTGGTTTAGCCTGACTCCCTACGTGCGAGATGTGTATTACTATATCACTTTGGGTAACCGGCAAGGGCTGAAAACACTCCGGGAACTTTGGGTTTTCTGAGCAAGAATGCGTCATAAGCTGTCTAAAAAAAACAGACTGCATACTATAAACTGTAGTCTCTAGGCAAGGAAGGCTGAACAGCTAACTTTTTCTGGAATAAAATTGAACTGACAAAACTGACTGAAGGGGTATTTTATTAAGTAGGTTTAGTACTTATCAATTCATTGCTAGTTAGCCAGGATTTATTTTCTTCAACTCCATGAACAGACTAGATTTGTATGCTGAACCAATCAGCCACAACCTTTGAACCTTTGGTCACTAAAAGGCATTTATTGTCTTACAATTCAGTGTTGTTCCAGGAAACCCCGGGTCCTAGAATGGCTTTCCTCTGCTTTCATCAGCCCGACAACCTGTACTGCCACACTACAAAAACAACCCTAGAAAGCCTTAAGAAACCCAGACAGACATTGTCTAGGCAAGTCTAGATCCCAACTCAATCCAGCATCTAAACCAGGCATATAAACATGTTGAATCTGGGGAAGTCGCACCTTGCAACTTTTGAGTACTCTAATTATATACTGCCTGACGCCACAGACAACCTTCTGCCCATATGACATGTCACAGCAACCAGAGGTAGAACCACAAAAGTTGGTTTTAGTGTCAGGCTGTATATTTATATAGGTAAAACAGTCCATCTTCCTATCTCTGAAATATTGTTCTTATCCATATTAGACTTGAAACACCTAAGACAGACAGTTGGGACGTATTTCACCAATCTTTTACTTTTGTAAATAAATTTACAGATAAATGTCCTATAGTACTATGAAACACTACAGTATTTAAGCAATCATTGCAATCAAGCAATCAAGCAATCATCACTGCATTTCGTTGCCCCGTACCTGTGCATGTGCAATGACAATAAAGTTGAATTCTATTCTAATTCTATTCTATTCAATCAACTCCTAGACTTTAAATATGTAAATCAAGTTTTGCTGGTTCCTCTGGTATAAATGCAGGTAGACAACCTGAGTTTCCCAAAGGGTTCTAAAGCCCCATTCACCTATAAAGTGGCTGGGTTCATTGTTTCTCAAGGCTGGTCACTGGGCCAGTCTCTGGTTGCCCAAGTCACTTCTTTTGTTCAAGTCCAGGGTCGAAAATCTTTCTGTCACTGTGTATACCTGGAGAAAATCACCATCTTCCTTCTACACGACTAAAAGTACTAAAAAGTACTGAAAGTAAGGTGGATGTTAGTCTTTTAGTAATGAAAGATTTTCTTTTGTAAAATACCCCATCGATCAGAAAGTAAGAATTCAAAAATGTCTTTGACAAAGAAGGTCACAGTTTTGATGGCTCTATCACCTCCTACTTATGTGTAATAATTTTCTGAGAAAGACACCAAATAGAAGGTTCCTGTAGCATTTCATTGGTGCCATCCGGAGTGTTTTAGTTAGGTAGCGAATTCTGGGTTATTGCCGGTTACCCTGTTGTGCCATTGCCTGTCGTTACCCGTTGGGGTTACGGTGATCTGACCTTGGAGTCCCCTCCCCCGGTGCCGCACTCTCCCTTGTCATACCACCATCTGTTTTTCAATTTGTCCAACAGGCCCTGCTCGTTCAGTTTTAACACTGCCAAGTTAACAGGGTTTCTACGGGGATGATAGTAACAATAAGGGATAAAAGGGAACCTGGTGTTAATGAACAGACGACTGCCACAGTGAAGATAGCAACATTAATACACATGTGTACCTATGACAGGCATGATATTATTAATGAATGGTACATAAAAACAACAGATTCACTGCTATTCAGCCCAGACCTTGTAACATGCTGTTTTCCTGCATCTTCCTCCTGCATTGTGAACATTACAATGCAAGTAGACCAAATACTTACAGTTAGAGAAAAATGCCATCATTTTTTTTTAAATCAAATTTTCTGAACTGGGAAAATCTTCAGGTAATGCACACTAGTGACTGTCTGTCTGTCTACTTTACAGGACTCATGCAGTCTCTTTTGAATCTCCGAACACTGTGGTCTTTAAATGGAGAAACACCGTTGTCAAACTCAATTAAAGGTGTGATGCCCATTTAAATGTAATTAGTTATTAACCTCTGTCTCTCTTCCACAGCATGTTTTTATCCTGTTTTCCTTCTCTCACCACAACCGGTCACAGTAGATGGCCCCGCCCCTCCCTGAGCCTGGTTCTGCTGGAGGTTTCTTCCTGTTAAAAGGGAGTTTTTCCTTCCCACTGTCGCCAAAGTGCTCGCTCATAGGGGGTCATATAATTGTTAGGTTTTTCTCTGTATGTATTATTGTAGGGTCCATCTTACAATATAAAGGGCAGCTGTGGCTACAACTGTAGCTGCCTCCACCAGTGTGTGAATGTGAGAGTGAATGAATAGTGGAATTGTAAAAGTGCTTTGGGTTCCTTGAAAAGCGCTATATAAATGCAATCCATTATTATTATTATTATTATTATTATTATTATTATTATTATTACAAAGCACCTTGAGGGCACTGTAGTTGTGATTTGGTGCTGTATAAATAAAACTGAATTGAATTAAATGTCATAAATAAGTATGCAATACTGAATGGAATATCAGCGCGGTGGTCTATAATACAAGAATCATTTAGACTTTTAAAGTAAATAACAATCAATAGTAAATGTTTGACAAACACTTTAATTTCTGTCTCTAATTATAAGTAAAACTGGTAAAAATTCCTGTTTGTGAGCATCTTTTCAGTGGTAGCATATGTTGACAATGGTCTCACTGGTTGGATCCCAATCCTCCAAAACAAGGCTAATCACTGCATTCATTATTTTATGAAACAATGGCACCACGCCGATGCCAATATGACATCAGCTTCTCGGTTTAATTTGCATTGTCTATAGCTCATTCTTGGCTCTGACTTGTAAATGGCTGGCTTGATTCACTCATTCAACAATTGCTTCAGTGGATTGTGTTAAACTCAGCCATTAGTTGTAGCAGAATGACAAGTTTCTCAAAACCAAAGGAAAGGTAAACTGCACTTTAATATTGTCTGGGTCGAAAAAACAGAAAATGATTCCATTTTACTACTGTGCAGCAAAGCGCCACTTGCATTTAGTTAATTTCTAGTCAATACCTGATAAATAAAGGTGGAACACCAGTCAAGTATTCAGGTGTAAATCAGTTCAAATTAAAGGGTAAATGTCTTTTAAATATAAATTTTGTGTCATTGTACATGTCCTTGTTGTTCCCCTTTACATACCATAAATGATCAAAACTATAGTGTGGCAGAAGGCAGCAGATGATGTTGAACGGTACATGGTAAATCAATAAAATGATCAATGAGCAGCAGTAATTCAGTTTGAAATGTCAATAACAGATGATGTGATGAGTGTGAAAGCAGCAGAAGAGTTTTGTTCTAAAGTGCATAATTTAATTTAAAAAAAGATCTGTATAAATTCAGTGTGAAAAAACTCAGATTAAATTCAGATTAAAAAATTTTTTTTTTATCAGATGCTGAAAATAGTAATTTTACAAATTTGACATATCAGGAGAATCACTTACGCTGGGTTCAGACTAGAGAATACTCGTTTTTTTTTTTGAAAAATCGTTGCTTTTCATGACTGAGACAGACTAAACATTGTTTCCGGATCATGAATGCTACCTTACTTTCAAGCCGTGCGTAATGGAAGGAAGTGCTGATAGCTGTATGTCTTGAGTAATGGTGTGTGTCCACAGGAGCTACCCATTCTGCTAATTAATGACTTGTGGAGCTAGCTGTGCAAAGCTGAAAACTAGCTGTGGACTATCTAAATGAATACATATTTACTCCTCCCCTCAAATGTTTTCAGGAAAATGTATGTATTTTTTTGAGATTTTAACCTCTCTATTTGGTATGGTCTCATCATTCCCAGTGGCCAGAACAAAGTTTATCTTTTATTCTGATGTGGTCAGAACAAAATCAAAAAGTCTGAACCCAGCGTAACTGTTCACAGAAGTGATGCTTGAGTTCACACTGAGAAGATTCCTGCTAAATTACATTTCATGTCTACACACAGCTATGTTTGGTCAGACTGGTGGTATTCCTAATTGTTCAGGATTATCTCAGTTGGGATATCAAAGAAGCCAGTCCTACAATCCAGAAATGAGTTAGTATTTGTGCACTTCCAATTCCCTTGTCGCAGTCAGCAGGATTTTTGAATGGCACTGTGGTTGATATGAACTTCAGAGATTTTTACGTTTTGTTCTATAACATCAAGTACATAAGTAAATATTCATTTCATAAATTTTGAAGGTTTTACTTTAAGTCTTTGAAGCCTATGGACCTCATTATGCCCACCAAAATGTGTAAGTATCCAAAACTTTTATTTCCCACAGAGCTTATTTAATAGTCTAACTCAAAAATCAAAATCTGTTTTGCTTTTTAGCAAAGGAATCAGGGTGACGCTAACTTCCAAGTCAGCCTACAAAAACCCATCATCCCCGTGGCACTTTATTGTAGAAAATCACCATTTTGGCACAAAGAACTACCATTTGTTTGAATCCTATCAACCAGATTCTGTGAAAACTGTGAGAATGTCATTTGGAACAAATCTTGCAGAAACACAGTCATGGTTAAGGCTCAGAAACAGTGGCTGGGAAACAGCAGAAGGATGATGAGCAGAAAGCAGATTGAATGAAGTCGACTGATGATTTTTTTATTGTCATCTGTTCGTACTAAGAGCCGGTCAACCCAGAGAGAGAGAGACTGCTCACAGAGAACTCAAGAGCTCATCTTTTTGATGTGTAAAGTTGATTATACAATATGCTCAGCATTCAATGGGTTTAACACAACTGTGTTGCTAAGCAACTGATGACAAAAACTCAACCCTTTATATTTTTTTAAAAGAAATGTTGATTTGGTGCTTCCTGCATCTACAGCAGGGAGCAGAGGTAAATACATACCACCTTCTCTATGCAAGCTGCATTTCAAAGTGACTTATTGATCCATCGATTGATTGAGTCAGATCCTACACACAGATTATTTTCAGGGATTAAATAGATTCAAAACTCAAAGGGAAAAAAATATCACATTCCACATGGTGCAGTCTTTGTTCTTCTAGTTCGTCTGCCTTTCTCTGACTCTGGGTTGGCCGTAAATTGCTGACATGAAGCAGAGAGAATGAGAACAAGATGTTCTTTCACTGAACATCTGATAAAAACATGGACTGAGTTCATTCATGTATGAAACAAAGAAAAAGGAAGAACGTGACTTCATGCTGCTGTCAGGTATAATTAAAACTCACCAACTCCACCTCAGGTTATATTTTTCAGCTCAATTTCTGTTTTGTTTTCTTCTTCTGTGGACAAAAGCCATGTTTTTCAATTCACCTTAAATGGCACTAAACCAGAAACTCATCTGTTATCAAATGTAACATTTATATGGGAAAAAATTCATTAAAATTTTACATGTCAGGTTGGGCTCATTTGTTCAAGAGTATTGCTTGTTTTCCTATTTATGTATTTATGTATTCTTTACTCCAATCAGCCTCACAGCTGTAGCCCTGCTGTCCTACAGTAGTGACACCATCTTGCAGTTCAAACAGCACACGTCACTTGGGTCTCTTTCATTGATACTCCTTGTGCCTGGGGACCCAGCTCTCCTATGGGAATTACACAAAACACATCTGGGACTCTGCTCTCTAGCAACAGTAATCTCACTGTAATACAGGAGTGATAAAACCTCACATCTGGGACCCAGATCACTGGGAGAGGGAATATTTTGATTTCTATCACAAAATTAGGCAGTGATGCTCCTTATGGATGGGAATCCCATTGCCTAGAACAGAAGACTCACCACAGCCCTACTTTCTAATAGATGTGATGCTCTTCATCTACAGGAATTATGCTTATCTGCAGGACTGACAAACCTCAAGCCTACAAAGACCACTCTCTGACAGGAGTGATGATGTCCTCCCTGATTGCTACACCTTACATCATGCTTTGCAGTGGAAGTGACACTCCTGACAGTCTGGAATGAAAGTGAGGAAGCCCAGCTCTAGGAGCAGCCGTGTCTGATGTGAGTATGGCTCTTCATGCTCAGAAATACTGGTCTGCAACAGGAGTGATACGCCTCACACACTGTAATGGGAGCAATGCCCTTGATACACAGGAATTCCACCCTTTAGCAGGACGGATGCTAGTGGGGGTGACAAACGTCAGAGACTAGAATGTATGTGACTCCCTGCATGATGCTAAAGAGTAAATGGAGTAATTCTTTAATAGCACTTTTCTACTCTTATACACAGGCCTATTTTTCAAGCATGGGAACTCTACAGTCTTACAGGAATAATACGACTTACATCAGGCAAGGATCTTGCTTTCTAGTGGACGTCATGGAAAACTTTTAAGTGTAAGAATACTGGTTTGTAAGGGAGAGACAATCCAAACCAAATGCAAAACTTTAAACTGTTCATAGTTCAATATGAGACTTCAGTTCCAGAATAATCCTTATTTACTTCAGTGATCGTCAGCAAACTGCCATATCTGATAAATAAATATAAATGATTTTCATCGAAGTGTTTATCTTAAAGCAGCATTTTACCTGACAGCAGCAAAGCTCAAAGACTGATCGACAGACAGAATGAGATTCATTAGGATGTTACTTTAGATGTCAGGATTCTGGTGAATGTAGAAGCAAAGACGGGCAGGTAGGCAGTCAGACGGGCATAACAAATGACAACAGACAGCAAAAAGGCCGACAGGGCAGCATCAGGCAGACAAACACAGATACTGACAAAGACAAACAAAAAGAGAGAGACAAGACAGACAAAAAGACAGATTAAGAGACAGACAGACACACAGACACACACAGACAGACAGTAAACAAGTCTAAAAGTCTAAAAAGCTGTTCTCTGGGGTTAGACTAGTTTTCATGTTCCAATCATGAATACCAATTTTGACATTTAATTTTCATGTCTAAACACCTGGATCTGCTCTGTGAATGCCAGCCAGTCATCAGGTTTCTGCAAAAACAGCATCCAGGTTGATGAGTTTGAAACAGCGCTCTGTGCTGTGCAGAGGTCATTTTGTCCCCAAGTCTCCTCAGTCTCAGTTCCTAAGAGTAAATTATAAAGTAATTCCACTGATTATATAACACCAATATAGCCATTTATTTTTATTTCCCTCTTCTGTAAAACTTCTACTTAGCCATACTTCAGAGTCAAACATTGACATTTCAGTCCCACTATATGTATCACAAGCTTGTAAAATTAATACATTACGAAGATTGAAGCAGAAGCTCCCAAGCTTTTAAGCTTGTGACCCAAAGACAATAACATAAGATATATGAAAGTTGTTCCATGAAGAAGCTATTCTTCTGCTTGCATTGTTTCATTTAAATAGCCGTGCGACGTTCAAAGAGGATAAATTATCCAGTGATTCACAACACAAGCAGAAGGTAAAAGTTCTTTACTCTCCAATTAATCATTTCACAATCCCTCAGATTAATCTTGTGACCCTCTAAGCAGGGCTGAACTCTTGATAAGTAGCTCACTTTATACAAACTAATTAAAAGTAGCTCCAAACTGAGAAACTGTCACAGAAAAATCTATTGTGCTTATAGCCAGTCAGCAAACTATAAATAGATCCTTTAGTGGACATCTTCCAAGTTCTTCCACCTCTGATACACTTAGTGGGTTTTGCTTATAATTCTATAAGACTTTGACAAAATTGTCTATTATTGTGACAACCAGACAAAAGCAGCCCTGCTAACTAAATTATTTTAGCTATAAAACAAAACTTTAATGCAAACTTCAGCTTTCCTGCCCTTTTTATTTTCCCCAGAGGAACTAGACATGCCGGCATCCACACACCAGAGGGCGCTGGAAAGACTGGCTGAAAGTTTTTAATAGTAGTAATTTGTATTTACTACATTCCAATATTATGAGACCATGATATATAATGTTTTTAAAAATACACCCCAGTGTGATACGTTTGCATGCAGTGACCTAATTTCCCCACAAAAAAAGCAGACAGAACAAGACACCGACATTAGTCCCGCACAGACTATCCTCTATCTGGAGATTCAGAGTCTACCTGAGGGGGGATCCTTTAGGCGTGGCCACTCCATAGCCTTTAGAGTCCAGGTTGCCTCCTACTTTCATGGTGTCACAGGGCTTCCTCTGCTCGATGTACTCATTCATGGAGGACTCCAGCAGGTAGGCATATTTCCCTTTTGACTTTCTGACCCGTATCACGCCTTCACTAGTGCTCTTGACGAAGACCGATGGGTCTGCGCTCCGCATGTACGACCACATCTTCTCGAACACTGCAATCTTTGACCGCTGGTGGAGGAGCAGAGAATATCTATGTGTTATTGTGCTTGTAGAAAAACATTCCTTCTCAGACTGCTGCCTTGACTACAACGTCTGCACTTCTAGAAATGTGTCCCCACCCTGAAGAATTCTTTAGTGGAGCCTCCATCCAAGGTACCATAGGCAATCTCTGTTTGCTTGGCCAGGTCTTCTGCACTCTCTATGGGGGACACCATCCTCTCTACGGTGAGGAAGGCTGCCAGGTTGGCTGTGTAGGAAGAGATGATGATGAGGGTGAAAAACCACCAAACTCCTCCGACAATTCGACCTGAGAGAGACCTGGAGAAGAAGGGGAAGAAGAGCAAGGAAGATAAATTTTCCATTTCAGGCACAGCAGGCAGGGTTAAAGGGGTGTACTGGGGATATTTCAGCGTCCTTCCCATTTTCTTCAATTATATTCACTGTGACTGAACCAGGAACAAAGCCGACTATTCATTGAATTTTCAGAAAATGCAATAATAAGTGATTCTGCTTCCACCTCACTCTGTTTTCCAAATCTGTTATAACAAATTATTTCAGTTATGTAGATGATACACAAATGGTGTCTCCTAATAACATTATCAATAGCAATTGCGCACTGCTGGCACGTCTCTGCGCACAAAAAAAAAAATCTAACCTGAATTGAAATTAAAATAAAACTTTAACAATCCTGTTCTGCAGTGTGAGTCAGTGACTGGCTGCTCCCGTATGGGATCAGAACGATGCCACCTTATCCCACAGTCCAGCCAATGATGCGATTCACATTCGTATATACGCAGCTAATCAACGTCGCTGACAGGCTATGACAGCGTCCTTATGTGCGCCGGTGTTTTAGCAAAGCGGCTGATGTGGAGTGAAGCCACGTTAATGACAACGTGTACAACCATTGGAGATGTGAGCAGGACAGACGGAACAACTGATGGAAAAAGTGTGGACTTTATACCAGTTTTTAAATTGTGTTGATCGGCCACGTAAAACCAGAATTATGATAAAATATCTGCAATGTTTGGTTTTCTTCCAGAATACTGTCGTTGTTTATATTTACTGCGGGAAGAAACGGGAAAAACTGTGTTTTATAAGGAAAACGCTCGAAAGCCTGTGAACAAAGACAACACCAAAAAAACCCAGCCTTTCCTATTGGTCAAAAAATGTACCATGTGGACCAATCAAAAAATGATATGGCAACATGGCATTTAGTTGTTTAGGAAGGGGGAAGTTTTAGGAGTGACGGCGTGTTTGAGATGTGAGAGATTTGTGACGTTTAGCGCAAATCTTGTGTAGTTAGTGTGTAGTTAGTGTGTAGTTAGTGTGTAGTTAGTGTGTAGTGTAGTCAATAGTGTTGTTGTGTGTGTCAGGACAATGAGGCAACTGCTGAGTGTTACAGGTGTTACAGCAGTGACACATCTGCTGCTGTCAGGCCTGCAGGTATCAGGCTGTTGTTCTCCTTCATCTCATAGTGGACACAAATTATTTTTTGGATTTTTTTGGAGCGGCACAAATAGCTTGTGTGGCATCAGATTTGATGCAGAACAGCTGATTGTTCTGCAAATAGTTTGAAATGTTTGTTTAAAAAAACGTCTTGGCTGCATTTTTAGGTAAACAGCTGCAAAAAACTTTGTTTGCAAAACTCAGTTACTTTTTTGAAGAAGTAACTATATAATTAATTGCCCAACATTGGTCATTATTTACTGTATTTTCCAGACAGAGTTACAGACTCTACAGTTGTGTTTTCAAAATTGGAGTTCAAGTTATTTTTACTTCCAGTAGTGTTAACATGCTACACAGGTCATGAACAAGATTTTTTTAAATTGTCATTGTAAGTGGGCTAAAGCAGTTAATTAAAAGTAGTCTAACATAAATGCTGTAATTTGATTATTTTAATGAACCATGTAACTTGGATGGATTCAATGCTGGCGTGACCACAGTGCACACGTCTGCTGTTGCTCACAGTGGTCCAAGGGACGCTCAGGGAGTTTGTGTGTTCGCTCAGACACGTGAAACATTAGAGGGAACATTGGTTGTAGCTAAACAAAAAAAAGACCATATGGCATAAAAGCTCTTGTCCCAATCCTTTACCGAACCAGACCAGGTTAAAAACACAAAATAAATTGGACTTTAATATATTCTGAACCTTTCAAATCCCAAAGGTAAAGATCAGTTCAATCATTAGCGGATTATAGTTGATGCTTGTCTGATGCATTTAGCAGAAAAATTAAGCCAGACTTTTTCTCATCAGCCTGTGTACACAAAAGCCTGTTTACATGTGATTGTTCCTGCAAACCATAAATGCTTCTGGTGAGAATGGCCATCATTTTTTAAAGTTATTAAAGTATAGAAAACAGAGTTTATGTAGCTATTTCTTGTCAGAAACATATATTTTCTCTAGTTTTTACCAGGGCCTGGTGGCTACATTACATTACTACATTACAAGCCATCTGCAGAATGCAATTCATCAAAACTGAAGAACATGCTCCGACACTGGTTTGATAAAACATGTATAAAACAAATATGAGAAAGCTCCCAGTAAATATTTAATAGCATAATAATTAATAATAATTAATAGCAATTATAATCATATACAGAATGTACTATAGAGTCTGGGATTAGGAAACTTGTAGTTACTACAAAGACCCAGTCACTTTTAAGTAATCCACCTACTGAATATTGACATTTTTCCAATATTTGGGAATGCATTTTAGTCTTTTTTTTTGTTTATTTTATTTATTTCTCTAGTGTTATGTAACACCCATACTAGTACCCGGTTGATCTGCTTTTGGCTTTTTGGCCACAGTGATTTGGGTCCATATTGACATGATACCATCACACAGCTGCAGTAGATTTGTAGGCTGGACATCCATGATACAATTCTCATGTTCTCATGAATTGAGCTCTACTGCCTCTGGGGTCCTTCTGAAATGAATTTGCTGTTTTCAAGAACCTAGTTTGAGTTTGAGACCCTGCCATCCTCAAAGTTACTTAGAAAACCTTCCATCCTCATTCTGTACAGTTTGAACTTCAGCAGGCTGTTTTGACCATGTCTACATATCTAAATGCACTGAGTTGCTCTCATGTGACTGGCTGATTAGACATTTGTGTTAACGAGCTGGTGAGTGTGTTTATGCATGTTTATGCATTCTCAATCACGACAGTTAAAACGGTCTCTGCACAAACTTTTTCTTCTTTAACCAATAGTATGTACCTCTAGAAAATTGGAAACAAACCCCTGGAGCATAAGTGCCACCAGATGGAATGCCTGTTCTAATTTATCTGTCCATGTGTTTTATATTTATAAAGCTTCTTTCAAATAGTATCTGTCTCTGCATATTCATGACTCATAGCTGGGATCAAAAGTCAGCATTTAAGAGCTGTGTGTAAAACATAACTTGACTGTCAGAGTTAAACAGATGCTGACATGCAAACAAATACTCTAGCTTCAACACTTGCATCACAGATGACAGTCTGGCATAAAAATGCAGGTCAGATGTTTTCTCTCTCTCTGTAACTCTGGCATGCATCACCTTAATGAAACAGACATTAAAAAGAGGAGGGAAGAGGTTCACACATTTCAGTTCATAAGCTGAGTCAACAATAGTGAATCAGTGGCAATCTGAGACCTGGAGATATTTGCATGGGTCAGATGACAAAAACGAACTCATGCTGACAACACAAGCAGAAGGTTCAAAGGCATGTGGACCAGGACCGCAGGCCTGCTTACTCCTTGAGAAGTAAGCAGTACCTGGCCCATTGTTGCAACCGTACTAAGAGCTACATCATCATTAGGTTTGTGCCAGGGTTTTCCTTTAATATTAATTCTGTCCATTATTTTTTGGGCCAGTCATAGCCAGGAGGACGGGTCCTTAGAGTCACCTATCTATTTTTTGCAGATAATGTGGTTCTGTTGGTGTCATCTGGTGGTGATCTGCAGCTCACGCTGGCACAGGTGAGCAGAGTGTAGAGCAGCAGGAATGAAAATTAGCTTCTCCAGTGTCTACTCGAGATCAAGGATCAGTTTCAGAACGAATCAGTTTAAGCACCTCAGAAAATTGTTCATGAATGAGGGGAGAGATTAGGCAAATGAGTATTTTGTCCACATCATCCTCTTCATGCATGTTGTCTTACTCCAAACTGTATAGGCTCGAAAGCCTACTACCAATTAAGCATATTAGGTGATGTGCATCTCTGTAATGAGAAGGGGTGTGGTCTAATGACATCAACACCCTATAT